GGTCAGGAAACTAGTTCCAACCAATGAAATTCACTGCTTCTGGTTTGGGATTTCTGTGCGAAGAGATTTTAAATCAACTTCGACACCTTTGATTTGACACATCATTCAGGGCAAAACTTGATAGGTGTCAAAGTTGAGACCGCGAGCCCTTGCCCCAATAAGCTGCCTTGCCTCCTTTTTCCGGCAAGTTCTCACGAGGCAGGATCGACTTTTTAGATAGAGGACATCGAGACCTTTAATCTGATACCCTACTTAGGGCATAACTCGATGGGGGTAGTGTTATGTTTTTTTCAATTTGTTAATAATTTGTTAAAAGATATTTCCGGCAGCATTCGCTCTCAGGCAGAAATACCGTTTAATAGATGCACATAATACTATATTTTATTGATAATAGTGTCGACACATAACTGGATCGGGGTAGGAAAAATGCGGTCGTCTCCCTAACTAAGGTCTGTTTTTTTTTTTAAAGATAATTCTCCAAGTCAAAAATTTAGTAACTATGTTGGCAACACAAGCCTTTTCTACATAAAAAATTTGAAAGCATTGACAATTTTAGATTGTATTGCCAACATAATGTCATTTTGACTTTTATCTTTAAAAAAAAAAACAGATTTTAAGTGGAAATGTTCACTTCTACAGTTTTCCTAGTCGGCCCCATGATCAGGAAAGACGTAAAAAATGGATTAAAGCTGTCGGAAGAAAAATGTAAGTTCCTACTTACTTCTATCAACAATAATCTTCACACCTATTCATAGGAACTACACACTGAGTTTTCATATTGATTTGGTTACTTTACTCTCTATCGTTTTAAGATCCAATTCAAAAAGTAGTAAAATGTGGGAGCCAAAAAGACAGTCGACGATTTATAGCGTCCATTTTATTGTTATACCTACCTGTAGCTCAACAGCATAAGGAGAGCTGTTTATGGAGGTTTGGCGCATAACATGCCCTTTCAAAATGGATAAGTCCCCTCCAACTTTCCGTTCAACTACTTGCAATACATGTTCAGCTTGCAATACATGTTCAGCTTTCACTAGAGCCACACCTTTTTTGTATGCAGCTTCGTGGTGATTAAATTTTATATTTTGGAAACCAAAATGTATTTCCAGCTCCATTTTTCGAATGATTTTTCGAAATTCTAGTGAAAATTTGACAAACTATTAATACAAAAACTTTTGACATCTCTCACTAGAGGTCGCGGATTTAAATTTGTGACCGGTCCCTATGATTAAAAGTATCCACAAAATTCAATTAAAGTCTGTTGTTTTTTTAAAGATAATTCCCCAAGTCAAAAATTTAGTAACTATGTTAGCAACACAAGCCTTTTCTACATACAAAATTTGAAAGCATTGACAATTTCACATTGTATTGCCAACATAATGTCATTTTGACTTTTATCTTAAAAAAAAAAAAACAGGCTTTAATTCAATATAATATCATTATTGCCATCTATCTATAAATAAAATGACCATAAAAATGCAAATATCTGTTATTAAGATAAGTACTAACGTACCGCCATCTAGTACCCAATAAATTTATTTTAAAATTATAATAGGTTTCTTACACTATTTTTATTATTCCTCTTTGACAGTCATTGATATTTTTATTTGAAGAAACTATGTTTATTTTGCTTTCAGCAAATAAGTATATTTCTGTCTTTCTCTCACTTCTGATTCTGGAATGATTATTTTAAACTTCATGACCTAATTAATTAGTGGTTTTGTATTTCTAACATAACCTCAAATTTAAATCATTATAATTTGTAAACAATTGGAATGATTCTGGTGTGTTTTTATTTATTCCCATTTAATCAGCGTGGTGTTTCATTGATGAAGTGAGCACGGTCTTTTGTGTGTGTTGAGTATTGTCTTCTGATTGGTCGATGGTTACTACGCAGTTAAGTATAAAAAAACACAAGACTGGTTTTCTTCAAGGGATTTGTTTCTTAAAAGGCCTCTTCTTTGGTAGAACACTAAACAGGCAAGTCGATTTTCACTTTGTGATTTTTTTTCCTTCAGATTTCTAGATTTTCCCTTAATATTTTTCAAATTATTTCACCATCAGTGTCTACTATCACTGCTGGGTTTTTATTACCTCATCTCATCTACCTTTAAAATATATACGACCACCGCGCGCTTAGTAACTCACCCTGTATATTATATTTTAATTTTTTAACTTTTGTGACGTGGTGCCAAGTTTTTCTGAAGAGATTCAATTCAGAGTTTTGACAAATAAATAGATACTGTTGCTTTAGTTTTCGGAATCAATTGTTAGTGTGGGATTATTGGACCATTTGCTCTAAATAGATTCGGTGCAAAACCAAATTTGTGTGTCCATCCCTATCAAAACTTGGCCGAATCTAGGCAGAGACCTGTATAGCCATTTATTTTTTGACTTCCTCATTATCTTCTCGAGGAAGGAGAGTTCCGAAAGGGTGAAGTTTTGGGAGAGGAATCCGGAAAGATTAGAAATTCATTCAAAAAGTTTCATTTAAAACACCTCCAGAATTTTGATAAATCCTGAATTTAATTTATTTTACCCTCAGCTTTATCATCTTGTGATACCAATATTAGGCACCTTGACTTAAAAGGACCCTGCACATTTCTTATGGAAAAGTGATCTATGTGGAATTTTGCTGAATTTTTGATATTGTGTAGAGGGAGTCCTGCTTAACAAAAGTTATCATTGCGCTAATGTTTAATAGCGAACAGTTTTTAAGATATGAATTAATTTATAGCATCACCAGGTCTCCCGCCTCTGGACCTCGTGATCCATTTCGAGGCCATGAGGACAGCCTATAGATTGCACGTCCTTGACGAAATCGATTCTACGTTCTTATCTTAGATTTTTATGAACTATCATTTGACACCAACTTTGAATTTCATCCATGATTAAAAATTCCAATTAAATTTAATCTCCGGGTAAATTCAAAGTTGGTGTCAAATGATAGTCTATGAAAATCTGAGATAAGAATGTAAGATCGGTTTTCCTCTAAAATTATGTTATGTTATGTTACGTAACACGGAATTAACTATTTCTGAGTTAGGTAACACGAAATTAACAGGGCCTATTTTACCATAAGGCCCATAAGGCCCGGGCCTTGGGCCCGGTGGAAAGTAGGGCCCCGAAAAAGGCTTGAAAAAAAAAATTATCATTTCAATTCGAAAATAAACACAGAAAAAAAAACGAATATCGTATATTCCAGTCCAGTATTCCAGTATGTCCTTTTGTGTGCGGGTTGTGGTTCCGCGGACCGAAAGTAATCAAATTACTGTGGTTCCTGGAAAAGTGGTTACTTTTGGACGTTGGTTTCCTGGAATCTGATTAACCAAATGTCAAAATAGTTACCGGCTATTGGATGTCGGTTCTGTTGGTGTTATCGCTGTATCATAATTATAGGATAACGGGGGCCCGAAGTTTTGCTTGGGCCTTGGGGCCCAACTGAATCAAAAATAGGCCCTGGGAATTAACCATTTCGCATATTTTTTTTTATTTTCTCAACGGTATTTCTGCATTGCGTAACTCGGAAATAGTTATTTCTGCGTTACGAAACACGGAATTAACTATTTCTGAGTTAGGTAACACTATTTCGCATATTTTTTTTTATTGTCTCAACGGTATTTCTGCGTTACGTAACTCGGAAATAGTTATTTCTCCGTTACGTAACACGGAATTAACTATTTCTGAGAATAATTAATTCCGTGTTACGTAACGCAGAAATAGTCAATTCCATGTTTCGTAACGCAGAAATAACTATTTCCGCGTTACGTGACGCAGAAATAACGTTGAGAAAATAAAAAAATATATGCGAAATAGTTAATTCCGTGCTACGTAACACGGAACTAACTATTTCCGTGTTACGTAACGCAGAAATAACTTTGAAAATAAAAAAAATAGATACGCCTTCGTAAAGTTATTTAATTGTTTTTCTATAAAAATATAAAATTCTCCATATTGCAATAGTTTACTTAGTAATACTTGATTCTGTTGAAGGGTAGTGTCTGCAATTCAATAATAATTTTTTTACTAACTAATTTCAATTTAAATCTTTAGTCCAAATCTTGGTGAAGCTGATACTGCTTTATTCTTTTCTGGGTACCTATTCGACACAAAGATCACTTTTTGGAGTCTGGATCAGTTGATGGAGTGACGTCACACCAGCAGTCTTTCCTCTTCCCTAAATATAGGAAACAACTTAAAGAGCTCCAGACTGGAAAAGGTAAAAAAACGTATCAGTGTCACCAGAATAATCAAGCTGTTAACTTTCAAGATTTAAAAAAAAAAAAAATTAAGTTACTTCCATACTTAATATTGTTTAAACTAAATAAAATTTTTGTTTGTTGGATTTTTAGTGGTTTTATATGCACATGAAGGGGCTACAAGTTTTATTATTTATTTTTGAATTCCATGACCCTATAGGTTCTCTTGCTCTAAATTACAAATAAGTATTTTATTTGTAACAAATTGGTGGCGCCCAACGTGGGGCTACATTTTTCCAAAGTAAGATTACAAATACATCTTATCTAACAATTTTTTTCGAAAATCAGGAGTATCCTCTTATTATTTTTTATTTCATTTTTTGCTCTGTATACATTCTGTCTTCATGCTCTCAGATGCTTATGTCAAAGGAGTTTATGGGTTTCAATTTCTATACTGTTCTGATTTCAAATCCTATAAATTATAATAATATGCTACTAACTTTCCCATTAGGTCAAACTTTTCCATCAAGTCAACCCCTCAACTCCGCATTAAAGCTTAACATAATCCTTATTTACTCTGCATTTGGGAAATTCGATTTATCCACAGTTGAACAAGTTGAGTATTCCCATTTCAAATCTAGTTTATCGTCCCATGTTGATCTGTTTGGGAAATTCAATAGAATCCCATTTTCTCGGAGAGTAAATTAGGTCCTGGTTTTTTTTCCAACTTAATGACCTCAAGGACCTCAATTTTAACCTAAACGATCTATTAGGCTGTATACGAAAAATAATAACGCTCACCAATTTCAATTAAACTCATTTCATTTTAAATTGGAAATCATCTAATTGACAGATGTTTAAAGTGTGATGCAAATGCACATATGAGAATTGATAGACTGGTTTATATTTCAATACCGCATAAAATCGATAGATAAACTTCTAATGAAACTATTGAAACATAATTTCCTCGATAATTTCCAACAATAAATATTTTACACACATTTCAAATTCTGTTTTGGACGTTCTATAAAACAAAGTTAAATTCAAAAACTTTTCGGCTTGAAATGTGCATTTCGTGTCCATATAATGGGTCAACCCTTATCCCGAGGGAAACACAATAGCGTGTCAAAAAAACATATTTTTGTTGTTGATACCTTTTACAACGGTAATGTTTAATAATAGTAGTGTCGCTGTAATGGGTTCATGTTGGTTTACGTAGCACGATTGCAACAGAATAAAAGTTTACATTTTTCAACAGCAGACCATAAAAGAATGGATATAAAACATTACATTCAATTAATTAAAATTCGCCATAGGCCGAGTGTGCCATGAAATTTAACGACGTCTCTCAAATCTCCCAACTATATTTTACTTTATTACTAGCTTTCTCCAGAGCTTTATCACTGACTGACATAAAGGTGTTGCTAATAAGTTAACCAAGAAAGAGACTCTCATTAATTTGTCTGCTTCCTCTGGAATTTAGATTGTTTCAGGTATTTGCGGGGAATTTTGGTAGATACAGAAGTTTATTTAGCGAAAATGAATTACTTCTAGATCTTATCAAATAGCTGACAAGGGCGTAGATATGGGGGGGTAGAGGGGGTAATTAACCCCCCAGATCTCTATTTTTTAGGTAAATTTAAAAAAAAAAACTAATATCTTATAAGATGAAAAATATTGGGGCTTCCGGGTTAAGTAAAATATCATTATCAAATAAAAATTCTTTGTTGGTCCTTCTTGTTCTTTGTTCTTTGCAAGTTGCAAAGCTAGCTGCTAGAATGAGTATAAAGGACATCGCACACATCTTATGGGTTTTCGGGGACCGGTCGATTTTTTTAAAAATTTGGTATGTTGTAGTACTAGTGAAAATAAGTATTTTTCATCATTGCGCAAAATCTCTAACTATACAGGGTGACCCAGTAAAGTAGGTTCGAAAATCATAAACCAAGCCTTTCTATTATCAGTATTAGCGCACCTTGCAAGCTAAATATCGAGATTTTTCTTTTCGATTTCGCAAATAAATAGTCAGATAAGCTTAATATACTATACAGGGTAGCTGAGCTTGCGTATTTTTTTAGAAATCCTGCCCTATTTTTAGAAATAGTGTTACCAAAAAGGTTCGCTGGATTTTATTTAGCTGTAACTTTTTTAATTTTGGTCCGATTTAAAAAAATGTGGTATCAAAATAAAGCCTATATCACAGGGATGTAATGAAATCTAAAAAAATTAAAAATGTGATAAAATTCGAGATGGTTGAACGTGATAAAAGTATAACTTTTCATTCGATTAGGGTCTTGGATACACCAAATACACCTAAATTAAGGGGCGGTTCCTCAATTGCGAGTAACTCTAGGGGTTAACTAACCCGGTGCTAATTTCAACCTTGCAGGTTAACTGAGGATTGTGTTTCTCAAGCATCCACTGTAGGTGGAGTTAATAAACACTGGGTTAAGCAATAGTTGGTAGCATTATTCTTTACCAGAATGGTGATCCTAACATATTTTTGATTGGTCGAAAGCAGTCATGCATGGGTCGATCGTCAAATTAGCCCATTCACAAAACTTTTTGGAGTTTGTTGTTAAGTTAATGATAAGTTCGAGTATTCTTTTTGGCGCACCGTTTTTTCATTACAATTTGGTAATTTTTGAAGAGCGTGGTTAATGCAGTGTGTGTAGTCAATAGTCATGGAGAAGAAAGATATCGCAAGAGGAAAAAACTTCCTTGAATTAGAAAAAATAATAATAATCAAGCTATAATATAAGCGAAATATAGGGTGCACGAGGTCAGACATGAACTTTTAATCCTTTGTAGAGAAATCCTAGTCATCGTATTTCTCGAGAGGATTAATCCTTTGGCGGATTATATGATTCGTTTTTCCTACGAAATTGTAGAAATCTTCATCTTCATCAATCAATCCATATATTTCTATTTTGAAAAAAAAATATATTACCACAAAATTGACAAATCACGATCACGAATCATCAGGTTATCTCAAAGGGTAAATCCATAAATCCATAAATCGCTAAACCTGCAATATCATCAACAGTGAGCCAATTTAACCCAAGGTTACACCAAAAGTTATAGCTAACTCGCTGTGGAGAAACGTTTACCCTGGAGTTATAATCAACCCGGAAATGACTCGCTATTGATAAACCGACCCTAATATAAGTAACGTATTTGATGGATACTTCACATTGTTCTCATGTCGAGCGTACCTAAAGTACCTAACAACGCGATAACTTTGCATGTGCAGTATGTGCCCAATACTGGATTCCCTCCATCCAGCCCACGGGAGAACAAAAATGATACAAACAGAAAATCTCTGCTTACTTATCTTGTGTGAACCCCGAAAATATTTAGATATATTCGGAAAGTTTTAGTTCATGAATACTCAACAGTGAGAATAGAAAAATTAATATAATTTTCATGTAAATCGACTTAAGGCCCACCCCACCACCCCTAAGTTGGAGTTTTTCTCTTTGACTTCTTTCATGTAGGGCATTTTCAATATTTTGCACTAGTCACAACATTCTGTGTTAAACACAGATTTCAAATGTCCATCCAACATGTCTTTGTAATCTTACGAGTATTATTTGCTTCCTCAGATGTAAATTATTGACGATGTCTGGCCAAAAAAGGCGATATTTCACACGAATTCTGAGATTTGTCATTTTTTCAGATTTCATGACATCCCTCTGTGATGTAAGCTTTATTTTGAGACCAGATTTTCTAAAATCTGACAAAAATTGGAAAAGTTACGGGCAAATTAATTCCAGCACGACCTTTTTCGTAACACTATTACTAAGAATAGTGCAGTATTTCTAAAAGAATACGTAAGGTTAGCCACCATGTATAATATATTAGGCTTCTAGACTATTTATTTGCGAAATAGAAAAAAAAATCCCGATATCTAGCTTGCAATGCGTGCCAACATCAATAAATGAGAGGCTTGGCAATGATTTTCGGACCCACTTTACTGGGTCACCCTGTATAGTTAGAGATTTTGCGCAATGATGAAAAATACTTATTTTCACTAGTACTACAACATACCAAATTTTTAAAAAAATCGACCGGTCCCCGAAAACCCATAAGATGTGTGCGATGTCCTTTATTTTTAGAAAACTGTATTATCTATTACTGTATTCTGTTAGTAAAAGCCGTGCTGCCCTAGTTTTACACTAACACTGAATCAGTTTAAATGTAGTAAATTCCCAGAAGAACATGAATTTGGCCATTTACACTCCTATGACGTCACGATATCCATGCTCATACCGTTTCGCTCCGTAGAGTGCAAAGCCGAACGAACTCAGCCATTATAAGGCCCAGTTTGACAATCTCGGTTCATAACAAAGTTCAACTGAACTTGACTGGTACTTGAGCTTTCCCATTTAAAATACATTTTCCTACGAGCGTGCGCAAAGTAGTACTTTTCCGCACTCATTTCCGTGCTCAAAGTTACACTTTTCCGCACTCAGTGCGGATACAGGCCTTATCCGCACTGAGTGCCGAAAAGTAATTATAATTGTCAAGCAACAATAAGTGCACCTGTCGACTTTGACACATGATGACAAATTTTTCCTTTGTTTCTATATCAGCCAACATCTATACAAACACCAAATATAAATTAACTTTGACACATTGTCAGACTTGTTCTCTATTTATATGCAAAAATCTACAAACTTTCTCATTAAATTAAAACGCTTTAAGATGAACAGCTCTGACGAGGATTTTCTGTTATTTTTTTTTGTTATGTAATTTTTTGATAAATGCATAGGTTCCCTTCAAGTTAATTAAAAATAATTAAACAAATTATCGGTTTTTTTTTTAAATTTTTGTTATTACCTAGCTGATATGAAGCTCGTAGGAAAAATTTTGTTCCTAACACGTGCGCAAAGTGTCTTTTCCGCACGCAAACACGTATCCGAACTCCGCTTCGCGTCGTTCGTATAACTGTGTTTGCGTGCGGAAAAGTAACACTTTGCGCACTTGTTAGGAAAATAACTATTTCCTACGAACGTGCGGAAAAGTTACTTTTCCGCACGATTTTTCGTTTTGAAAGTTGTACTTTTCCGCACGATTTTACTTTTCCGCACTATTTTTTTACTTTTCCGCACGATTTTTACTTTTACTGAAAAGTGTACCCATATTTAAGTTCGGGGGCCCCCTATTGGGGGGCCTGAGCCCCACGGTGGCCCCCTATCTGGGGGGCACAGTCCCGCGGGGGCCCCATTTTTGAGAGGCACAGTCCCGCAAGGGCCCCTTTAGGGGGGCAGAGCCCTGGGGCCCCTTTCTGGGGGGCTCTTTTGGGGGGGCGGAGCCCCGCGGGAGTCCCTTATTTGGGGGCACAGCCCCGCAAGGCCCCTTATTTTTTGTGGTATAGCGCCGCGAGGGTGAGGGATCCTAACAATTTTTTTGGCCAATTTAGATATAGGCCAAGGATCATGATAAAAAAATCCGGTTCCATTATTTTTTTGTGTATAAAGAAATCGTGCGGAAAAGTAAAATCGTGCGGAAAAGTTACTTTTCCGCGCTAGTGCTGAAAAGTTACTTTTCCGCACGATTTTTTTATTGCTAAAAATGAAGATATTTAGGATCGAATAAATGATTTATGTTATATTTTTTTTCTATTATGTGCTATTTTGTACCATCATTATAAAATCTTTTCCTACTCGCGTGCGGTAAAATACCGCACTCGTTTGCGTGCCGTAGGTAGTACTTTACCGCACTCAGTGCGGTAAAAGTTCTTTACCGCACTCAATGCTGTAAAAATTCTTTACCGCACTCTTTTAAAAAAACGTTTGTATGGACCTTTTTCATGTG